CCCCCCGGTCAGTACTTAATGCATCTAATTACATTTTAGAAATTTGTTTTGGATTTTTTCCCCCCAGTGAATACGGTTCAATCACTTGCAGCCTATCCAGTAAACAGCAGTTGTGTAATTTTGACATGGACGCTTTCACCTCCAACTTACGTGATAAAATCTTTTGTTATTGAATGGAAAAACCTCAATGAAGAAGAGGGAATGAAATGGATGCATCTTCCTCCAAATATTAGCAAATGCTATATTTATGGTGAGTTTGTACCTGAAAATATAATATTCTTATTGTTGTCTCTACTTTGGCGCAATTAAAGTGATTGATCTGTCCCCTCACTATCTTTGTTTCTGATGGCTTGTGTGTAAGATCCAGTAGAGCAAAGCTTGCCCATTAGTTGAGAGCCCAGTATAGAGTTAATGATGTTGACTGATACAAGACTGCCAAGTGGTCTTTATCTCTGTTCAAACCCAGGCGCTGGTCCTCTGTGTTGCTCCGTGTCATGTGGACATTGGTCCATGAGTCTGTGGATTCATTGGTAACTGCATCCAGTGAGACTGCAGACTACCATATTTTCTCACATATAGTCCGCAGGTTATATACGTTTTTACAAACATGACGGACAGGCGCGGGCTATACAAGGGTGCGGGCTATGCAGAGCCATTTATGCAAAAACAAATGTAGCAGAAGTTAATAAGTGCATTAATTGTTTCAATAGTATTTCCAGGTTATATGACATACTGGATGATGACGATATGATTGCAAAGATTTAGGAGCGAAAAACCCGCCTTGCCGTGTTCAAAAACAGCATTCTGTCCATTCTTTCATTATATCCGCGTTCATCCACCCTTTCTTATTCCAAATAACTGCAACTCCATTTAGGATCTTTTCTCGGGGCATTGTTACCCATTTGAAAATAACCATCAGTTTTAACTTTATACCACTCGTGGTGCGTGCTAGCACAATGGTGAAATTTGTTCGTTTATGGCCCATTGTTGATATTGCAATCATCTTTTTACCCCGTTTGATTAACTGTGCGAGTTGCTGGGACCGAGTCGCCCCCGGTACTGACACTATCAGGTGCGGGGAATACATGGGTGCGGTCTATACACGGACTATTTTCCAAAAATACAATTTTCCACGGGTTATACATTGGTACAGGTTATATCAGCGTGTGGGCTATATGCGAGAAAATACGGTAGTTGGTTTGGCTCTGCAGGTACCTTCATGCAGCATACTAAGTACAGACCTGGCCTACCTCTATGGGAGCCTGTTTTACACAGATGTATTTGAACTCATCTGAGTAGAGTTACTCCCAATTACATCAGTTCAAATTTCTGGCATGTCATTACCATGCAGGAGTTGGCCAAAAGTGTGATTCATCTATTTTCTGCCCTGTACATATATCATTTTTATATTTGGTTACTCAAGAACCAAACAAGTTTTACTATTTAGTATTTTATAATCTTTCATGAAAAGCCAATAATTCTGTGAGAAAAAATATCTTAGACTATCCAAAATAAATTGTTAGCTCTGCATTTAAATCCAAAATTAAAAGGATTAGGCCAGAAAAGATCATTCCTTTCTTGTACGATCTATTGTATACAATCGGAGCCTCTTTAAAGGTCAGCCTTTAATCATATTACTACACTGGAACTTAAATTTTTTTTAAATCTTATTTTCTTTGCAGATCACTTTATACTTATTCAGAAGTACCAATTCAGTCTGTACCCTATCTTTCCTGAAGGAGTAGGCAAACCTAAAACAACAGATCAATTCATCAAAGGTGATCTATAGGATATTATCTTTTTTTTTTTATGAAGCAGCAGTTTGTTACAAGTTCCCTTTAGATCAGAACTTCTTAAATCCTGATTTTTATGAGAAACAGAACGATAAGTGTTGATATCATACCAATTAAAACAATGGTCCAAATCATCAGTTGGTGTCACTGAAAACAGTTTTGCTGGAGTCAGTGCTGTACCTCATCAACCTTGCCAGATTGTCTTCCTGCATTTTATACAGAGCCCTACTCAATTTTAAGATCTGCCAGAATTGATGGGGGAAGGGACTGAAAAGCATGTATATAGATGGCACTAAGGCGACTTTGGGATCCTGTATAGTGTGGCTCCTCAGTCTATAAATGCTTCCATAGTTTAGTGTGCCCTGGTGAGGTTCCTGGATAAGACTGGAGAATGGATACTTACCATTGGGCGCATCTACATTAAAGCATCACAAAACATTAAAGCATCACCAAAAATGTGCTCTTTAGCTAATGGGCATTAAAATAAACTAATGTGTCTTTTGCTAGTACCTCACAATGAAGGGTGCCTGTAGACGTGCTAGGAGGCTGCTCTAATACGTTGTAATTACAGTGCCTTGGAGCAGACTCAATTAACTGAGCCTGCTGGAGCGTGCTCCAGCAGACTCCCGCATATTGTGTTTCCGTGTCCCTAAACTTCATAATAGCAGTGGGGGGCACTTGGACTAAAGCTTGTTGAACGAGCTTAAGTTCAAGTGCTCCCGCTTAAGTTCAAGTGCCTGGAGGTACTAAATTTAGTGTGCATTACCTAAACCACATTAATGAAAGTCTAAAATGCACCCACTGAGACACAAAAAATAAGTGGGCTTTTAAAGTAATTTTACATTGTGTAAATTTGAACATAAGATAAGGGTCGTTGGTGTATAATGCAGCTTACTTACCATATCTGCTTAGATCCAAGACAACCCTGAATTTAAGACCCACCAATAATTAGATTCTATACACGGAAAATGTATAAATTTGTTATAATTTTATAAGTATAGAATCTAATTATTGGAGTTTTACCTTAAATTTGTCCCCCCCACCACTGTAGTGGGGAAAGCAATGGTGGCGCTGGTGATCAGGGGCAGGTGGTGGTGGTGGTCAAGTGATGGGAGGGTCAAGCAGCTTGACCTCTACCACCTGTCCCCCTTACTACTTACTCCCCTGCTGCCTCTTCTCCCCATCGCCCCTTTCCACAGCTTCTGTCTCCCTGCCTACCCTCCAGAGGCTGTGTGGGGGAGGAGATGGGAGCCCAAGGCTGAAGGGTGGAGCAGGCACAGAGAGGACAGAGACTGCTGGGGGCAAGTGGGGAGTACAGATCAAGGCTGGAGGTGGAGCCACATAGCTGCCTGCCCCCTCTTGTATTTGAATCCAAGATGAGGGGCTTTTTTTCCCTAGTTAAATTGGGGGAGGGAAAAACTTTATCTTGGATTAGAGTAAATACAGTAACTGTTGTTACCTTTAGCTTAAGTGCATTTAACTTATTAAAAGCTTTGTTTCTAGTCTGTACATACACTCATCATTCAGCAAGACATTTTATTTATGACACTTTTAATTGTATGGAAGTTGGGGCTAATGACTAGAGAAATACTGCAAAATGTTTGAGACTAATACTGTTTATTTTCAGATGAGAGTGAAAAACAGAACAATGTGGGGCTCTATATGATTCTACCAATAGTTATTTTATCCTCGGTTTTATTGCTTGGCATGCTGCTGATTTCGCACCAAAGGTATGCAATTTATTTTCATAAAAAATATTCTGAATATCCTTATCAGATGATACTACACCTACAGAATTCTTTCTATCTAGTTAAGGACTTGTGTTTGTCTCTCCCAACCCCCACATAACTATATGGATGTGCTTTCTGTGAGAGATGAAATACTGTATTGCTTGAACATGGCACTAGAAAATGAAAATTCCTGAGCATGTACATTTTCTGCCTTTGAGTTAAGCCATTACTCTCTCCATTTGAATCTATGCAATGGGGATGCTTCCCTAAAGTGATTTGGGGTTGGTAAAATGCTGATTGTCAAATTTTGTTACAATATATTATAATTGTCTTTATTAAAAGTCTGCAATAACTGCTATAGAAATAAATGAAAGAGGTTTTTTTTTTTCTTTTCTGGTTGGTTTATTTGGGAGTTGGGTCAAGGTTAATTCAACAGAGATGGGACTCCACTTTTCATAGCTATAAAATGACTGGGTGAGACAAGGTTTTTTATTGTTCAAGATCATTTTGGTAAATGCAGAAAATGCTGTGGATGACACTTGCTCTATGCACAGAAGCCAGGTGAGGTCTGGGTATCACTTAAACTCCACTTATGCCCTATTTTACACTGTGTGTAGTCCCTCTCCTCAAAAGGAAATATCAGCCCCAGAAAATAGTAAAGATTCATATTTTAAATAAAATTTATCCAAGTGCTTTGCTGGCCTAAGCCATGAGAGTGGTGTTTTAGCTGGCATTGGTTTGTTGAAACTCTGGAGGATGTGGGCAGTGGAGTTCCCCAGGGCTCAGTCCTCAGGCCCGTGCTATTCAACATCTTTATCAGTGACTTGAAGGGGGGTGTGGAAAGCATGCTGTCCAAATTTGCTAATGACAAAGATGTGGGGAGAAGTGGGCACGCTGGAGGGGAGGGACAGAATCCAGCTAGATCTAGAGGTGGGCAGATGAGATTAGAATGGAATTCAACACAGACCAGTGCAAGGTGCTGCATCTAGGGAGGAGGAACCAGCAACACACCTATAGGTTGGGGAACGCCCCTCTCATCAACACAGTGGCTGAAAGGGATCTTGGAGTCATTGTTGACTCCAGGATGGACGTGAGCCACCAATGCAAGGAAGCGGTCAGGAAGGCTAACCCCACCTTGTCATGCATCTTCCATATGCATCACAAGCAGGTCCAGGGAGGTGATCCTTCCCCTCTATGCAGCACTGGTCAGGCCACAGTTGGAGTACTGTGTCGAGTTCTGGGTGCCACGCTTCAAGAGGGATGTGGCTAACCTTGAGAGGGTCCAGAGGAGGGCCACTCGCATGGTCAGGGGGCAGCAGGCCAGGCCCTATGAAGATAGACTAAAGGGCCTGAATCTATTCAGCCTCCACAAGAGAAGACTGAGAGGGGATCTTGTGGCTGTCTATAAACTCACCAGGGGGGACCAGCAGAAAGTAGATGAAGCTCTGTTCCACCGGGCACCACCTGGGATAACAAGGAATAATGGTCACAAATTGATTGAGAGTAGGTTCAGACTTGATATCAGGAGGCATTACTTTATGGTTAGGGCTGTCGGGCTCTGGAATGGGCTCCCAAGGGAGGTGGTGCTCTCCCCTACCTTGGGGGTCTTCAAGAGGAGGTTGGGTAGATATCTGGCTGGGGTATTATGATCCCAGCACTCATTTCTGCCCAGGGCAGGGGGTTGGACTTAATGATCTGTTCAGGTCCCTTCCAACCCTAGAAACTATTAAACTATGAAAAGCATTTCAAGACACCTGTGAATAGTAAAAAAATACATAGTATAAGTGCTGTATAATAATTTGCCTTGAAGAACCATGCTTGAGATAGTAAATGGAAATAAGTCAATGGTGCTAGCCAAACTTGTGATGACATCTGCCAACGTAACAAAACCATTACCCAGTATATAATTAGCCATTTTGGTGGTTTCAACTGAAGCTCAGGATTATAATAGCAGAGGTGCTAGAGCTGAAACTTGATTATGCCAATTGATATGTTTGGCCAGAATACGTATAATCTGCCCATAAAGGATGTTCAATTATCACGCAGATTTAAATAAAAATGAAGCAATTCCTTAGCTGGTGTGGTTTATGCTATCATAATAGCGAGCAGTTTGGTACTTCTCACAGTTGTTTCCTTTGTACAATGTGCATGCACGGAACCAAATCAATAATTGCCTTCCATATTCCAGAATGAAGAAATTGTTTTGGGAGGATGTTCCAAACCCCAAGAACTGTTCCTGGGCACAAGGAGTGAATTTTCAGAAGGTATGGGTTTCCGTGGCCCTGTATTCTTCCTGTGGCTTCATATTTTATAAACCCTAATGTGGAGCTTAATTTTTTTTTGTTAAACTCGGCATTAGGTGTTATCCAAAAAGTCGATTACAATAGTTCTGAAGCACTGAGAGTAGTAATGCAACCATTGTTTTCAGCTGTATGAAGTTGTCAGTCTGAGAGAGGCCAAAATGCTAGATCCAAATTGGTTTGAATGAATGTAGGGGAAGTTTAGATCTTCAGATAATCGCAGAGCCAAATCAAGAGCAATCCAGCAAACAGATGGCCCTTTGATGTAATACGTGTTGAAATCAATGGGTGCCATATGTGCACATGCAAGGCCAAATTCTTTGCTGGTGTAATTTGCCTCTCCTAGATCGATTCAGTTGAGCAGTGATAAATTGGTCTTTAAATGGACCAGTACTAATTTGCAGCAGCAGAAAATTTCTCTCAGTTCCAGGATTTGACACTTACTGTGTAATCATTAAGAACATAATTTACATTCAGGATTATTATTTCTGAGAGAGAGAGCATCTGATGGACAGAAACTCTGTTTAATTTTTTTTAGCTATTAATTTTCATTCCCAGTGAAGTTTTCTTTTCTCATCTTTTTATTTTATTTCATTTCATTTAAACAGAGAATGGACATTCTTTGAAGTCTAATCATGATCACTGCCTGCTGAACCATTGTGCCAGCTCCCAGGCTTCATATACAGAGTTGTTAGAAGATTTTTCTATTTACATTCAGAAGACAGGAAACAGATCAATACAATGCTGATTTGTTTAAAGATAACTAGTTCTGGAAGTAGTTTCATTCAATACATAAAATGCCCATGCAAAATCAGACCAGAGCCAAGTTTGTTACCCATACTGAACCAGACCAAAAAACCCCAAACAAACCAAAACCCCACTCCCTAGCCCTCCCCAAAATACCCAACTTTGTAGGCAGAAAACCAAGCTTTACACTGCATTTCCACAATATTTACTGACCTGCTTACTAAGGCTCTGTCTTGCAAAGGGTTTAGTGCTTTCAGTTCCTAGCATTCAAAAGCAGAAGAGTGCCCCGCACTTCACAGGAAATGGCTGTTGAAGCAGAAATGTTTGGTCTGGGGCTCCTGCATTTCAAACCCAGTTACCAACTTCATTGCATTTTTTTCTCTCTTTTTTTTTTTTGGTAATTTTATTCAGCATGATAACTAACCTGATTTTAATACACGACAGCTTTGGGAGTTGCAGGCGTATCAAGGAGGCTAAGTCTGGCCTTTAGAGCAGCATGTGGCTCCTAGTAAGGTCATCCACCGCTGTGTATGTGCATCTGAGCGCATAATTTTAAGATTTGCAGAAATAATTGTGTCTGTTGTGCCTTGGTTTTCTATTAAAAGGACCATGTGCATATTTTGTCTGAATATATGTAGTTGCACAACAGAGCCAGTTCAGTCAAAATCTAATGGGAGACTTTAAAAATCATAGAATCATAGAAAATTAGGGTTGGAAGGGACCTCCAGAGGTCATCTAGTCCAACTGCCTTCTCAGAGCAGGACCATTCCCAACTAGATCATTGTAGCCAGGGAATAAGAAACAAATAAGAAACAAAAACTAGTATTGGTCTTAATATGGCAAAATCTGCTTAATATAATCTTCATTAATCATTGTTTCCAGCTTACAGCTAACACTTATTTACAGCTTTCGTTCTTTTATTTTTGTTTTAAATGGTAAAGTATGGTTAGAATGCAAAGAATAACATCAAGTTCTTCAAAAAGTTCAAGGAATTTATGATAGAAGGCCTGGTCCAGAACTTATGGATCTCTGTGGAAGTCTGTAAGCTCCAGTGAGTTTTGTTCAGAGCCATTGAACCAAATAACTCCACCGAAGGAGCAAAAAAGTTACAAGTCTGGAATACACTTAGCTGCAGGGCTTTGCACAAAGTCCTGTTAATTGCTGGGAGTATTGAAGATGCGAGTTGCTGAGAAATTGTTATGAATCTCTTTAATATAGTTACCTTTAAAAAGGGAAACTCATCTCAGTTATCATGACCCCAGTTAACATGCGCTCATGGAACATGCATGTTGCATCTGGAGCTATGGACCTAATTATTGTATACCACTCAAAGAAATTACAAATCTAAATCAGTCTGGCAGAAGTGAACAAACTGACAAAACCCTCCATGACATAACTGTACATTTACATGTTCTTTTGAGTCCAGAGCTAAGGGAAAAAGAATTATCCGTGTAACTATAAAGCACACGGTGCTGCATAGGAAATCAGAGTTGCTTTTATGCCACCTTGCTGTGCAGTACAAAAAGCTGTGCATATGCAGTACAGCTTAATATCAGTAAATCCTGCATTTAGACTGGAATCCTGCAAAAACTTACATAAGCTTAATGTTAAGACCATTAGTAATTCTATAAGTTATTCAGTGAAGTTACTCAAATACTTAAAGATTAGCATGTTGATGAACGTTTGTGGGACTGGATCATAGCACCTAATGCTGTGGGCCTTGCAGCTGAGTTGTAGCACTGATCCTGCAATGATTTATACACGTATGTGCAGACCCATAGAAGCCAATATGATTATTCACTGTGCAGAAACGTGTGGATAGATGTTATATTTCTAGCACTGTAATTGCCCCGTAGTGCTACAGTAGTCGAAGGGACTGATGTGTGATGTCCCCTGTAGCACTACAGAAGTGGTTCCTGGACAAAACAGGAACTTCTCTTTAGTGCTACATTTTGGAGCCTCACAGGTAATGTCTGTCCTGTGCATTGTACCACTACGGTCTCGTGGTAATTACCACACTCCAGCAGACTCAATTAACTGAGTCTGCTCTGATGCGCTGTCATTGCAGTGCGTTGGAGCAGCTTGCGCAGTCACGTACAGGCACCTCCTGTAAATACAGGACTGGGGCCTGTGTTGCTTGCAGTGACTGGGATTGTGGCCCCCCCTGAGACTGGATTGTTGGCATGGGACTGGTGCTGGGCTTGCCTGCACTGACCAGAGCTGAAAACCCGCTGTGGGTGGACCTAGTTCTGGTCCCATTCAGACAGCCCAGGCCTAGAGGGAGCTCCAGTGGGGTGGATGGGAGCAAAGAAGTAGGGTCAAGCTGCTGCCTGGCTAAAGAGCATGTTGTCAGATGCCTTTGCAGTGGCTATAGTGCTCCAGCTGGAGGGCTCTGCACTTCTGTCTGTGCCTCATGCAACTACCTTTTTGGTAGCCCTTCAAAGTGCTGCAGCACTTGTCATGCTAGAAATGCATGTCTGTCCATTGACAAGGTTAAGCAGATGTGTAAGCCTTTGCAGGATCAGAGCCAAAGGATGGCAGGATTAGGTCCTTAGTATATTTTGAAACCTCACAGTTTCTGGCCAATGAGTGCAATTAATTGTACTCTCAATGGCATAAGCCCATGAATGCTTCTTTTGGTTTCATGGAATTATGTTGACTGCTGTAAAAATATTTTTGCCCAAACCATATGATGTGCACACATTGAGAGAGTGCTTCCGAGCATATTTACCCATCTTTCTCTGTAAGTATTTACTTTATATAGTATTACATTTCCTCAGGAGATTGTATGTACATTGTATTTGATTAAATATCCAACATGTTTTACTAAGCAATGTGTTTTGATTCAGCAGATGGTGACCTTTACTAAATGAAGTCTCTGTTTTTAAATCCGATATGTTTGTAGGCAATATTCTTGATGGGATTTTGTAGAGACATCCTTAACTACAGTTATACTAGCATGAGAGTAGATGGAACAAGGAGCTCTTTTGCAAAATGATTTAAACCCTTGTGTTTTAGCTAGTTGTTGTGGGGAAGAAACTTCTCTGCTGGGAGGTTAACCACAGATGCCCACTGTGGGGTTTCTTTTTTCAAGTACCTTACATTAGCCACTGTTTGTGATTTAAGATATTAAACTGAGTGGAGAAGTTTTGTTCCTTCCTTAATTCAGAGATGATCTGCCATAAAGAGGGAAGCACTTCATCAAGTCACATTCAATATAAATTAAATATATTGCTTGGTATATACACTGTAGCAGTGGCTTAAAGCTTATTTCAGCTTTAAGCTTCCTAATTTTAAATGCAGACTATTTCTAATACTTTTGAAGACCAGGAGAGTTCTGAGTGTGTGAGCAATGCAGAATCCATGCCAAAGCAGTTGCTTGGCTTCAGTTCAGCAAGATATCTAAGCACACAAAGGGCTTTAGGTATTTGAGTACCCCTAGTGAAGTTGGAAACATGCTTAAATACCTTATTAAATCATGGCCTTAGCTTCTATTGATGGCTAGTCTAATTTAAAAATAGCTTAAGATAGGTACATTAGTACCATATCTTCTTACAACACGTACCAAGCAAAGTTTTTGACACGTTTCTAGTTGCTTTGACAGATTTCCTGCTGTGATATATCATCTGTATGACTTGTTAACATAAACAGAATCGACGTTCTTAACTATTTCTGTTCTGATTTGTCATAATTAAACTCATTAGGCGGTATACATTTTAAAGTGAGCATTTCTTAGTGCTAAATACAAATAAAAATATGAATTTCCTTTTATCAGCTTATACCGTGGCCTTTTTAAACATGCATATACAGTTTGTGTTCCCTTATGATGTGATAAATGGGTGTATTTACCCAGTAATGGATCCAGGAATAGGGCAGAAGGGTGTAGCCTCCCATTTTGGCTGCGCCATGCACATGCAGTGAGCTGTGAACTCATTGCCTGGTCAGCAGGGGCTTCTGCCGAGCTGTCACTAGTGAGCTGACCCAGGGGATGAACATTTGCTGTTCACTCTTCCCCTTCCTCCCTTTCCCCCTGAATTCAGCAGTAGGGGAAAGGAGAGGACTAGTGGCAGTGGTAGCACTCACCCTCTGTGCTTCAGAGCCATGTGAAAACAGGGGCTCCAACCACACCCTGCACTGAGAGCTCACACGTGGCACAGTCAAAGTGTGTTGCGACTGCCATTCTGGTTCCACCCCTGTATTGAGCTAAAATAAAAGTGTGCCTAGGTAGACAGATGTTCAGTCTTTATTCACACAGGAATTACTGAAAGACTGAATTTCTAAAAGTTGTGAAGGGCAGAATTTTACCTTAAAAATAGGAAAAGTTATTTCAGTTGTTAGTAAGTGGTTTTGATTCTTCTCTAATGTGTTGAATTGTCCATGCAATTAAAAGAAAATACCAAGACATCTTGTTGAATATAGGGCATGAGCCTGCAAAGCATTTAAGTATGTATTTAATTTTAAGTATATGTTACAATACGTACAATGGAAATTAATTGGACTGCTTATTCTTCAAGTCAAATCTTTGCTTAAGTATTTTGTTTCTTGGGTTGGATTACTAAACACTTGGCATTATATACCTGGGACATGTGTTTGTTTCCCCTGTCACCATTCTCCACTTCTTCATGCAAAGCGCAGGAAGAGAACAGACATTGTTTTCTTATTTCAAAAGTGTACTTTTATGTTTAAAGATACAGTATTACTTTTCAGCTGTGGTTCTTAAGTACAGTAGCTTTATATTGGAAATATAGCCATTAAATAAGAGATGAGCACTAAAATATGTCTTTTTTTCTAGCCTGAAACTTTTGAGCACCTTTTTATCAAGCATCCCGGAGCAGTGTCATTTGGGCCTCTTCTACTGGAACCAGAAATAGTATTGGAAGACATCAGTGTTGCTAAAGCTCTGAAAAATGAAGACAAGCAAGATTTTTTCGCAGTCAATTCAGTGTTCACAAAGATTCAAGACTCAGAGCATGACTCTGCTTGTTCTAGCAGCCATTTCAATAGTAACAGTTTATCTGGGGAGTCTCATGATGGCCAAGTCAAGGAAGGAGATACGAGGCAGTCCAACATCAAATATGCTACAATTATCAGTAACTCCAAATCAAATGGGCTTTATGAACAGCAAAATAATCTAAGTAGTTCTTTTGTTGGATGCTTCCCAGGTGAAGATTCCTTAGTTACTGCCCCTTTTTCTAGTAGTTCTTGGGAGGTGGGAAATGACGCGTTACTCGTATTACCTGACCAACATCCATGCCAACCCAGCAAAACTCTCTCCCTTTCCCGTGTTTCTTCGGAGGGCTTTTCAGAACCTTCAAACCAGGATGACACCTTTCCTGATGGAGACAGCCCTGAGCAGAGCCTTTATTACTTGGGGTTAACGTCCATCAAAAAAAAAGGAAACGACATTTTTTTAACGGAGAATTCCAGAGTAATGCCTAAACTGGACACGCATGATGTATTCAAAGACCTGGGTTTTTTTCAGGATAGTTCTTCTAATTTAAATCCCTTTATCAAAAATAACCTTAAATATGAAACTTCTGTTAAAACTTTCATACCGTACATGCCACAGTTTCAGTCAACCTCAGTGAAACTGCAAGAGATGACAGAGAACAAAACTTGAGTTGTAACACCAAAGGGTAGATTTCTAGCAGATTGATATTGTTAACATTTTTTAAGTATCAATAACTTCCCCTTCACCTTCAGGAATACACTTAAAATTACTGGCTATGTGTTGCTCACACTTTTAAAATTGTGTGCCTGATTCCACAACTGAGTTCCCTAAATCATAAAGAGAAAATCCATTTGTTGGCTTAATTTTCACACCCAGACACCTGCATCCAATTAGGATTTTAACTTCCACATTTGGTTGCATTCACAGTAGCATTTGATGCCAAGTTGGCTGTTGCTGGTGCTAGCTGTTCCTGCTTTTCTGAGCACCCAAGTGAAGAATTGGATGTCCTGTTGCAGACATTCAAATATGAAGACTGGATTGGTTCCTGTTGTAAGTTCCTGTTGTAAGGCTATCAGAGGTGGTATTTGATTTAATTTGATTTAAAACAGTCTTTGTTACAGCTCTGTCCATAGACCATATCCTGGCCTACGGCCCATTTCTGGATCAGGGTCCTTGGCAGACTTAGAAGTCTCCTGAATCAAAAGTGATTGTGGGGAACTTACCTGCCCACCAGACCTCCCTCCTTCAGGGAAACTATTGCAGTGGTGGAACTGGAAGCTGCTGCTGAGGTGACAATGCTTGCCTAACATCCAGGGGTTAACGTTGCTGGTTATCACTTAGCATTCACAACAGATGGTCCCAAAATGGAACTGATAAGCAGAGGGCTGGACAAGGCCTCATCTAGCAGAGAAGCTCTCAATCTCAACAGCGATCAGAGAAAGGCAAAGCCCAACAAAATATTTTAAACACGCTTAACGAGCTCTTTGGAGAAGGTAGTGAGTTTTTTTTTATCCCCTCCCCCTCCCAATTTGCATAAGATGGAGCAACCTGGGATGTTCTTGTTGCCCTGGGGCTGGAGTAGCCTATGCATCCCCAGCTGCAGTGGGAGATATGACCAGGATGCATATACTCAGTGTGACTTACCTGTTCCCTTTTCCAGACATGTGGATTAGATCCATTCATATTGTGGATTGGACCCAGTTCTACACCTGCGTGGTCTGTTTCAGATCAGAGCTGTGCAGCACGGGGACAAATTTTTGGGGAGTCATGAATGTGCCTTCTCCATATTCACAGACACCTGCTTGTGGCACGTGTGTACCTATATTGCGTACAATGACCCATGCAGAAGTTGTTCACCATTTAAGAGCAAAATGTTAAAAATATATTATACTATATGAACAACATAGGAAGAGCATGCCCTCATCTCAGTCTGGAGTGCTGAGAGCTCCCTCTCCAGTTTAAATGTGATGTAACCGTTGATATATAGAGAGCACTGAATCCATTAATGGTATTTTCTAGTGTTGGGCCAGGTAGTGTGCAAAATCCCAACATATTCATGATGGGTGATAATGTATATAAGCCAATTGTTTAGATGGCATCTGTAGTAAAGGGTGTATGTAAGAAGGCAGGCAGTGCTGCATCATTAGTTGGTTTAAAACTTAAAATACTTGCACTTAATTTAAATCATGGAAAAGAAAAGGATTACCAATATAACATCTAGCAATGCAAACTGTTACAGGAAAACATCTGTGTGCTAAATAGTACATCAGTATACAAGTTTTTCCCCAAATAGGAAGAGGTATCAGTAGCTGAAGGTATACATTAATGCATTAAAATAAAGGGTCTCATACTTTTTGGGTTCACAACATCCCCATTTGTAGTGTTCTTCCATGTAAACAAATGTATCTGGAACTAAAATGGGCACATTTTGGAGACTTCTTTGGAATTGAGGTTCTTCACCTTTATTGGTGAAGTTACCAGTAAAAAACGATTTCATGAAACTCCTTTATAGAAAAAGGAAGGAAGGCACGATCTCACATCACTGGAAATGACTAGTAGCCTTAGCCCAGATGTCAATCCTGGCTGAGCTGGTTCCTCCAAGTAAGCTTGAGGAAGTCACTTCATCTCCTGCCTTACTTCAGCCAGTGGACAGGGTGGATAGGAAGTAGGATTTCTGAGAAAACCAGGTGCATCTCAGTTGAATTTTTTTGGATAAACAGATTGCAAAAGCAAAATAAAAATCCAAGCTCATTTTTCAACCAAATACATTTTTTCTACTCTATCATTGGTAAATATTTTTATAGTCAATATGTTATAATGAACTATTTTGAACTACTTCTAAATAGTATATATGAGCATTATGTTTACATATTATATATGGTTTCAAAACTTAATCCAAACAAAAGCACCATAAATGAGTTTAAAAGCAGCACCATCAAAAAACCTTTGAGCTGTATAAAAACACGGTATTTAAATATTAGCATTAGGAAATACTAGACAATGAAAAGGATTTGAGCGAATGTAAACCTACATTTTAATTTTAAGACCTACTTTAAAAAAAAAATTGGATTAATTTTTCAAAACTACGTAGGTCGTTTTGGCCTGCCTATTATCATTGTCAATATGAACATATTAGCCACCAACAACTTTGTTTGACAATCACTCCTTGCTACACAAATACTTCATCACATGTGGATAATCAATGAGTAAATGATATACATGAGGGTAATCGTAGATTATCTACTGGGAACAAGGATAGGGTAGTGGAAACTACCATATCTCAGATGGAGGCAAAACTTAGGCTTTGGAAACCAGGGACAGAGTATTGAAAGAGCAGACACGTGACATTGTCTGATTAATCTGGGATGCATCAGGCAAGGCATTTTCATTTGAGATTGTGAAATATGAATATCACTGTACAACTCAGTCAGATCTCATTTATAATGTTGTTCACAATTCTGGGCACTTCATTTAAATTAGAATATGTAGAAAAGGGCTACTAGGAGATCAAGAGACTGGAGAACCTCCTTTATGAGAGGAGATTTAAAACTCATAAAAGACCCTGTACAGTACTTAAGTGCATTTATAACTTAAGTATGTGACTATTTCCAGTGACTTCACAGCTACTAAGGGCTTTCCAAGGATTGGGGTATTAATCACCTGTTGATTTTTTAAATGTGTATTAGAACATAAATTAGTTAAGCTTTTTTACCTCTCTCTGAAATAACCTGGATAGGTTTTGTGACTCGTTTGGAATCCTCAGACGTTCCACATCTCTACGAACCCCTTCGTTTCTCTCATAGCAGTGCTGATTAACTGAGAACATTGTGCCTTACCATTTATACGCTGCTTGGCTGTCTTGCCACACAATAGCCAGGATACTCAAATCAAAGTGTGAAATGGAAGCACTTGGGGTCTGGTTTTCAGAAATGAAGAGCATCCACAACTCCCATTGAAGCTGCTAGGGGTTTCAAATGTTGCCTCTGAAATCCAGACTTCACTTCTAAGGTACTTTTTTTTGTGGAAGAAGTTACTGAGCCTGACATAGCAAGTTATCATCCATAAAAATTAGTTGTCTAAGTATTTTTAATTCCCTACACAACAT